GGCCCCGCCGCCCTTCCTCGCGGCCCCGCCGCCCGTCTTCGCGGCCCCGCCGCCTCTCTCCTAGCGGCCCCGCCGCCCTACCTAGCGGCCCCGCCGCCCTACCTCGCGGCCTCGCCGCCCTATTGCGCGGCCCCGCCGCCCTTCCTCGCGGCCCCGCCGCCCCATCAGCGGCCCCGCCGCCCTATCAAGCGGCCCTGCCGCCCTTCTCTGCAGCGGCCCCGCCACTCCTCTACAGCGGCCGAGCCGCCCAGCAGCAGCGCAGCCGAGCCGCCCAGCAGCAGAGCAGTCGAGCCGCCCTGCAGCCGAGCCGCCCGGGAGCCGAGCCGCCCTGCCGCCGAGCCGCCCTGCCGCCGAGCCGCCCGGGAGCCGAGCCGCCGAGCCGCCCTGCCGCCGAGCCGCCCTGCCGTCGAGCCGCCCTGCCGCCGAGCCGCCCGGGAGCCGAGCCGCCCAGCAGCCGAGCCGCCGAGCCGCCCAGCTGCCGGGCCGCCCTACTGCCGAGCCGCCCGACCTGCCCTGCCTGGTGAGCACAGCACCACTGTTACTGCGTGCCCTTCCCCTACTGCTTGCACTACTACACTGTCGTCGTCATGGCTACCCCTAGTGTCCTCGCTTTTGACGCTGAGGGTCGAGCCATTGACTTTGAGGTCTGGGTCGACGACCTGCAGCTGTTCTTACAGTGCGATAGGGCGGACGGTCTTTCCCTCTTTGACCTCACCTCTGGCGCCTCTCCTGCCCCTGCTGCTGATGCTGACCCCACTGTTCGCTCTCAGTGGGCCACCCGCGATGCTGCTGCACGTCTTGCTGTGCGTCGCCACCTGCCTACCACTGAGCGCGCGCACTTTAGTCAGTACAAGAGTGCTCAGACCTTGTACGACGCTGTAGTTGCGCGCTACTCTTCCCCTGCCACTGCTGCCCTGAGCCGCCTCATGCTACCGTACCTCTTTCCTGACCTTGCTGCCTTTCCCACTGTCGCTGACCTCATTACGCACCTCCGGACTAGTGACACTCGCTACCGCGCCGCCCTTCCTGCTGAGTTCTGCTCCAAGAACCCCCCCCCCATGTACATCACTCTCTATTACATAGTCACACGCCTCCCTGACTCCCTTCGCGTAGTCAGGGACCACTTCCTCTCAGTCTGTCCCACCACTCTCACTGTCGACCTCCTCGAGAAGTCCCTCCTTGCGGCGGAGAAGAGCATCGTCGCTGTAGGAGCCTCTCGTGGTGACCCTCGCACCCCCATCTTTGAGGGGTGTTCTCCTTCCCCCCTGCTGCCCTCTGTTGCCTCTGCTGCTGCTGCCGACCTGCTTGGTCTTGAGTCGGTCTGCGCGGCGTCTGCCCCTAGCGGGAGACGCCGCCCTGGCAGGGGCAAGGGGGGCAAGGGCACGGGTGGAACTGGCGGGGGCGGTGGAGGTGGCGGTGGAGGCGGCGGAGGGAGTGGGGGTGGCGGTGGGAGTGGTGGCGGGGGCGGTGGTGGCGGTGGCAGCAGCGGAGGAGGAGGCGGTGGTGTCGGCAGCGGTGGGAGCGGAGGCAGCGGTGGTGGTGGAGGTGGAGGCGGCGGTGGCGGAGGGGGTGGAGCTGGTCGGGGTGGTGCCCCGCAGCGTAGCGGCTCTGGTGGTGGCCAGCGTCAGCAGCAGCAGTAGCAGCAGCAGCAGCAGCAGCGTTCGCGGGACATCCCCCCGCCCCAGCAGCTCCGTGAGTGGTACACGCAGCGTCAGCGGGGTGGGGGTTTTGGTCCGTGCACCTACGTCCTTCGTTCCGGCGACCGCGCGGGTGAGCAGTGTGGGGGTGCCCACCCCACCCAGCGCTGCTTTGGCCGCCTGACGGACGCTTGGCGTCAGCAGTTCCCCGAGGCCAGTGAGATTCCCCGTTGGGGAGAGCTGTCTAGGGCTGGCGTAGCTATCTTTGATCTTGACTTTGATGCTATCCTTGCTGCCATGTATGCTGTGACTATTAGTGAGGAGGGTGACTGTTACCGGTGTTTCCCGCCCGACCCGGGCATTGGTACTGCTGCGCCAGGTACTTCTGCGGCTGCTGCTCTAGGTGCCAGTGCGTCTGCACTCTCAGGTACTGGTGAGGCTGCGCTCTCAGGTACTGCGTCGGCTTCGGCCTCCCTCACCTTCACGCTTGACTCAGGGGCTTCTCGCTCCTTCTTTCGAGACCGCACCACACTCACGCCGCTTGGCCGGCCGGTTGCAGTCTCCCTGGCTGACCCCTCTGGGGGTCCTGTCCTCTCTCACTTCTCCACTGTCCTCCCGTGTCCGGCTGCCCCCTCGGGCACCTTGTCTGGTCTGTACCTCCCCTCGTTCTCGACGAACTTGGTGAGTGGTGCTGACCTGCAGGATGCGGGGGTTCACCAGTTTACTCCTGCGAGTCAGCGGGTGACCCACTGCTCGGACGCCCGCACAGGCCGACACCTGGCCACGTTTTCGCGTCGGCCGTGGTCGAGTCTCTACACCCTGACCACTGAGTCTCCTCCTGTCCCTGCGTCTGGCCAGGTAGCTGCGTCGGGTCAGGTGTTTGCTGCTGCGTCCAGGTCTGGTCCTGAGTCTGCCCCCTGCTCGTGTCGCCGCCTGTCTCATGAGACTCTCCTGTGGCACCACCGTCTTGGCCACCCCTCCTTGCCTCGTCTTCGGGGCATGGCTTCCCGTGTCCTTGTCTCTGGTCTTCCCCGGTCTCTCCCTCCCCTTCCTTCGGGACCCGGACCTTCCTGTGTCCCCTGTGTCGAGGGGCGGCTCCGGGCTGCCCCTCACTCCTCCCAGTTTCCCCCGACAGAGGCTCCTCTGCAGACGCTTCACATGGACGTGTGGGGCCCGGCCCGCGTCCGTGGGCAGGGTCACGAGCGCTACTTCCTGCTGGTGGTTGACGACTACTCGCGTTACACCACAGTCTTCCCCTTGCGCAGCAAGGGTGATGTCACTGAGGTGTTGATCGACTGGATCCGCGCAGCTCGTCTCCAGCTCAGGCGGAGCTTCGGCTCGGACTTTCCTGTTCTGCGTCTGCACTCTGACAGAGGCGGAGAGTTCTCCTCTGGCCTTCTGCGAGCCTACTGTCGTGCACGAGGCATCCGCCAGACCTTCACGCTTCCGGACTCTCCACAGCAAAATGGGATTGCTGAGCGCCGCATTGGCATGGTCATGGACGTCGCTCGTACGTCCATGATGCATGCGGCTGCCCCCCATTTTCTGTGGCCGTTTGCGGTTCGGTACGCGGCGCATAAGATCAACCTTCACCCCAGGGTCTCCCGGCCGGAGACCTCCCCAGCTCTGCTGTGGACGGGGAAGGTCGGCGATGCGTCTGCGTTCCGTGTCTGGGGATCTCGGGCGTTTGTCCGCGACTTGTCTGCGGACAAGCTGTCCCCTCGTGCTGCTCCCTGTGTCTTCCTCGGCTTCCCCCCTGACGCCCCAGGGTGGCAGTTCTACCACCCCTCCTCTCGTCGTGTTCTGTCCTCCCAGGACGTCACGTTCGACGAGTCAGTCCCCTTCTACCGCCTCTTCCCCTACCGCACTCCTTCCCTCCCCCCGCCACCGCACTTCCTTGTGCCAGGTCCCCCCCCGGTAGACCCCCTTCCCCCTCAGGGTCCTGCCCCTTCAGGTGTGTCCCAGGTAGACGCAGTCGAGCCGGTCGAGGTTGCTGGTGACTCTGGTCCTGCTGCGGGTGCTGAGCCTGGGGGTGCTGACTCTGGGGGTGCTACGCGCGTGGGTGCTGAGCCTGGGGGTGCTGAGCCTGGGGGTGCTGAGTCTGGGGGTGCTGAGCCTGGGGGTACTGCGACTGGGGGTGCTGAGCCTGGGGGTGCGGAGTCTGGGGGTGCTGAGCCTGGGGGTGCTGTGACTGGGGGTGCTGAGCCAGGGGGTGCTGCGTCTGGAGCTACTGAGCCTGGAGCTGCGGAGCCTGCGGCCACTGGACCTCCCCTTGTGGCGTCTGGCGGTGCGGGACCTGGTGGTTCTCCGGGTGCTTCGCCTCGGCGGGAGCCCCTCTCTCCACAGGAGCTGCGCGAGTGGTTTGCTCGCCGCTGGAGACGTACTGCTGGAGCTGGAGCTCCTTCGGCTGCTGAGGGTACTTGTGCCGCTGGTCCCGGAGCTACTGGGCCCTCGGGTCCGCCTGGAGCTGGAGCTGCCGCGGGTGTTGGTGCTGAGACTGCTGCTGTCCTTCCTGGCGGTGGTCCTGCTGCGGGTACTGCTGGTGCTGCTGGAGGTACTGGAGCTGGAGGTGCTGTTGGCGCTGGTGCTGCTGCTGAGGGTGCTGTCACTGCGGTGTCTGGAGTCGCCGCGCGGCCTCGGCCGTACTTCGTTCCACTCCTACAGCAGGTTCTTGGTCTTTCTCCTCCTGCAGCATGTCCACAGCCTGTTGAGTCACAGTCCCAGTTAGAGCCCGCCTCCCCACTTCCTGCTCCCTCTCCTTACACTGGTCCCACTGGAGGTCTTGCTGAGCGTCGTGAGCCTGCGTCTCGTCCTGCGTCGCCTGTTCGTGCTGCTCGCGCTAGTGGTCGCGGTTCGCGTCAGCGTCCTCCTCCTGTCCCTGGCACGCACCGGATGTCTTTGCGTCCGTCCACTGCTCCTCTGCGTGCCCCTTTGCCTTCTCCTCCTGAGTCCTCCCTTCCTGCACTTTCCGACCCAGAGTCCGACTCTCTTCGTGCTGCTAGTCCTACTGTCACACGTCTCCTTGCTACTGTCGTCACTGACCCCTCTTTTGAGTCCACTGCTGCGTCTGCGCTTGTTGCTGAGCTCGTCGACTTTGCTGCTCGCTGTCGTCTAGACTACGCTGCTGGTCTTGTTGCTGAGTCTGCGTCTGTCTGTCCTCCGTCCGTCGGGGGTGAGTGTGCTCTTGGCACGGACGTCCTTGAGGACAGGCAGGAGGAGTTCCAGTGTCTGGCTGCTACTTCACCTCATCTCGCGTCCGTACTACTTGCCCCTGAGGGAGACCCGGATGCACTAGACATCCCGACTCCGCGCTCTTACGCGGAGGCCGTAGAGGGTCCCTACTCCTCTCAGTGGCAGGCAGCTATGGATGCAGAGATGGCGTCCTGGAAGTCCACAGGCACCTACGTTGACGCGGTTCCCCCTCCTGGGGCGAACATCGTCAGTGGCATGTGGATCTTCAGGGTGAAGCGGCCGCCGGGCTCTCCACCTGTCTTCAAGGCGCGGTACGTCGCTCGTGGCTTCAGTCAGCGGCAGGGAGTTGACTACTTTCAGACCTTCTCTCCCACCCCGAAGATGACCACTCTTCGGGTGCTGCTGCACATAGCCGCTCAGCGCGACTACGAGCTCCACTCTCTTGACTTCAGCACTGCTTTCTTGCAGGGTAGCCTGCACGAGGAGATCTGGCTGCGCCGTCCACCTGGCTTCACTGGGACTTTCCCTACTGGCACCCAGTGGAGCCTCCGACGGCCAGTCTACGGTCTCCGCCAGGCACCGCGTGAGTGGCACGACACACTGAGGACTACGCTTGCGGCTCTTGGGTTTGCTCCCTCTACGGCTGACCCGTCGTTGTTTCTGCGCACCGACACTTCTTTGCCGCCGTTCTACATCCTCGTGTACGTCGACGACTTGGTCTTTGCCACAGCTGACACTGCTGGACTCGCCCACGTGAAGTCCGAGCTGCAGAAGAGACACACGTGCACAGACCTGGGTGAACTGCGCAGCTACCTTGGCTTGCAGATCACTCGGGACAGAGCACGCCGCACCATTACCTTGACTCAGTCACACATGGTGCAGCAGGTCCTTCAGCGCTTCGGCTTCACGTACTCCTCGCCTCAGGCCACTCCTCTGTCTACTCGCCACTCGCTCTCAGCTCTGCCTTCGGATGAGTCCGTAGAGTCGAGTGGCCCGTACCCAGAGCTTGTTGGCTGCCTCATGTACCTGATGACCTGCACACGACCTGACCTTGCATACCCTCTTAGCATTCTTGCACGCTATGTTGCTCCTGGGAGACACCGACCAGAGCACATGGCTGCAGCGAAGAGGGTGTTGCGCTACTTGTGCAGTACGTCGGGCATGGGGCTAGTGCTTGGAGGGCGGAGTCCAGTGGTCCTCACTGGGCACGCGGACGCTTCTTGGGCTGACGACCAGGCTACGCAGCGGTCGTCGCAGGGTTACACCTTCAGTCTTGGTTCCGGCTCTGTCTCGTGGCGGGCTACTCGCTCGTCCTCTGTTCTCGGCTCCAGTTGTGAGGCTGAGATCTACGCCGGGGCCATGGCTGCACAGGAGCTTCGCTGGCTCACCTACCTGCTGACTGACCTTGGAGAGCAGCCTCGTTCTCCTCCAGTGCTGTACGTAGATAACAAGGCCATGCTGGCCTTGTGTCGAGAGCAGCGCTTGGAGCACAGAACGAAGCACATTGCTCTCCGTTACTTTCTTGCTCGTGAGCTGCAGCAGCGTGGTCAGTTGCGACTTGCGTACGTGGCCTCTGAGGCCAACACTGCTGATGTGTTCACCAAGGCACTTGCGCCTTGTGACCATCAGCGCTTCTGCACTCAGCTGGGTCTTGTACCTGTCTTGCCTCACTTGCTCTCCTCTTGACCTTGCTTGTACTGTCACATATATATATACCTGCTCTTGCTTGTCTAGCTCTATATATATATGTGCACTCCTGCATGTGAACTGGCCTTGTGGCCTTGTCGTTGTGCTCGGACTGTGTGGTGACTTTGTGATCCACCCTGAGCTTGCTGTGCTTTGCGTGACTGGTCTTGTGACCCCTTGTTCTCCCCCACTTTGCCTATGGGGGTGTGTCAGAACATATATATAGCTTATGCTGTTGTGTAGGCTATAGTGGGGTATCCCATAGGGGGTACAACCCAATTAGGGTTTCCTATATGTACTCACTTCATTCATAGTTCATTCATTCTTGTTCAAATCTTCTCAAAATAAAGTGCAAATGAAAGAGGAAAATAAGGATAATAAGATGGAGTAAAAATATGGAAATGAGAAATATGTCGAACGTCAGCGTACTCTCACACTTCCCCCCCTCAAAGCTGGGTGGTAGATGTAACACCCTGCTTGACAAGATAGTCGCGGAGAGAACGTCGGGCGTTACTCACGTCTTCTTCAGAGACGCAGCTGTCCTCAGAAGGATCATAGCCTTTCCAGCGTACGAGAAATTCCAGGGCGCCATGCCGACGACGACGATGTGCAAGCACTGATTCAACCTCGTACTCAAGTTCATCATTCACGAGGACTTGAGGCGGCGGCGGAGGTTGGCGTCCCGTGTACAGCTTATTTGGATCTTGATAGGGTTTAAGAAGCTGCACGTGGAAGGCGTTATGAATCTTCCAAGAAGCTGGTAGGCGCAAGCGGAATGTGACTGGAGTGACCTGCTCTTCTACGAGGAAAGGTCCGCAGAAGCGAGGTCGTAACTTGGATGGAAGGTGACCGAGGTTGAGGTTGCATGTGTCGAGAAGCACATGGTCACCAACCGCAATGGTATGATCACGTTGATGGCGATCGGCCAAGCGTGTCTGTGAAGACTGTATGTCCTGTAGACGCTTGTGTGTCCGATCCCAAAGCTGCTGCATTGTGGTAACGAAGTCGTGCGCGGGTTGGACAGTTGCAGGTACTGTCGGCTGTTGTGGAGTTAGTGGATGTCGTCCGTTACAGAGGAAAAATGGGGTCTCTCCTGTTGCGGCATGCTTCGCATTATTGTAGGCGAACTCCAACACCGGCAAGTGCAAGTCCCACTTGTTAATGTCGTCCTTGCACGCTGCGCGCAAGAGTTGTTCCACAGTTTGGTTCAAGCGCTCTGTCTGCCCATCGGTCTGGGGATGATATGCAGATGACATTGCTAGGCGTGTCCCCATGAGCGACATGAGCTCTTTCCAGAACTTGCTAGTAAACTTGGGGTCCCTGTCGGATATGAGGGTTGTTGGGATCCCGTGCTGTGAGATGATGTGTTTGAGGAATAGCTGTGCCGTTTCCTCCGTGCGTGCGGTTGTATGTGTCGGAATGAAGTGTCCCATCTTTGGGAATTTGTCGATGACGACCAGGATGGCGTCATGCCCCGCGTTGGTAGGTGGTAAACCGGTGATGAAATCCAAGCTGACCACTTGCCAAGGCTGTTCCGGGACGGGTAAAGGCTGAAGAAGTCTTGCTTTCTTCTGCTTACTGCTTTTCATCCGCTGGCACGTGTCGCACGAAGTGACAAACTTTTGCACGTCGTTTGCCATGTGAGGCCAGTAGTAGACTTTCGCCATCCCGGCAAGAGTCTTGTTACTCCCGAAGTGTCCAGCGTAGAGCACGTCATGGAATTCTTCAAGAAGCAACTGCCGAAGAGGCGGGTAGTTGGGTACCCATATCTTTGTTGATCCTTTGCGTAGTGCGACGTCGTGGTCCCACTGCAACAATTTCTTTTTCTCTGCTAAGGGAATCTCGGGGTCGATGGTATACCCGTGCGTGAAGAGTCCCTTGAGTAGCGGATTCATCCCCTCAATCTGTATGGCAGCAACGTGTCCAGGCCGGCTCAGTGCGTCTGCCTTATTCTTGTGTCCCGGCTTGTACACGATGTCGTATTCGAAGTGCGTCTCGAGGAAGTCAATCCACCTGACTTGTCGTCTGGAGAGGGTCGGCTGCGTTTTCATGTATTTTAGGCTGCAATGGTCAGTGTAGACTGTGGTCTTTCTCCCTTCGAGGTAGTATCGCCATGTCTTGAATGCCGTGATGATCGCTAAGGCCTCTTTGTCGTGAATCGGGTAGTTGAGTTCTGCCCCGTGCAATTTCATGCTGAGGTAAGCAATTGGTTGTATTCCTTTCCCTTGGTCTTGCATCAAGACTGCTCCAACTGCTTGGTCGCTAGCGTCAGCTTCGATGACATAGTCTTTTTCTGGATCTGGCAGGATCAGGACGGGTGCGGACGTGAGTGCGGTCTTCAACTGCTCCATGGCTTGCTGGTGCACATCCTCCCACTTGAACGGTGTATTCTTCTTCAGTAGATTGGTGAGAGGTGTTGCAATCTTCGCATACTGTGGCACGAACCGATTATAGTAGTTCGAAAAGCCAAGGAATTGCTGAAGTTCCTTCACGTTCTCCGGTGTCTTCCACGTACGTACGGCTTTGATCTTCTTTGGGTCGACATGGACTCCTTGAGCGCTCACCATGTGTCCAAGGAACTGAACTTTCTTCAAGGCAAACTCGCTCTTGGATAGCTTAACGTAGAACTTCTCCCGTCGAAGTATCTCGAAGATGCGTCATAGGTGTTCGATGTGCTGCTTCATGTCCCTCGAGTAGATCAGGATGTCGTCCAGGTACACCACCACGCATTCGTCGAGTAGAGGCCTAAGAATATGGTTCATTTCGGCCTGGAATGTAGCGGGTGCGTTGGTGAGTCCGAACGGCATGACGAGGTACTCGTAGGATCCGTATCGTGTCCGAAACGCTGTCTTATGGATGGAGTTATCCGCCATCCGGATCTGCCAATATCCCGATCTCAAATCGAGTTTTGAGAATACTGTGGCTCCACGAAGCTGGTCAAGTAGATCGTCGATCCGTGGAATCGGATACTTGTTCTTGATCGTCTGCTTGTTGAGGGCTCGGTAGTCGATGCACATGCGTAAGCTTCCGTCAGGTTTTGGTGTGAAAAGCACTGGTGCACCGTATGGTGATGTTGATGGTCGAATGAGTCCTTTGTCCAGAAGGTACTCGATCTGCTTCTTCATGTCGGCCAACTCGGTAGGGCTGAGTCGATATGGTGCTCGGAAGGTCGGTTTTGAACCAGGTTCTTCGATGATCTCGTGCTGGTGGGTTCGGTATGGCGGCAACTGGTCTGGAAGGTCGTCAGGGAGAACGTCTTCGAACTCTTCTAGAAGTTTCTGGATTGCTGGTGGAAGCTCGAGCGTTTTTCTCTCTCCGTCTTCGTTGGTAACCAGTGCAACAAACCCTGCCATGGTTCGCTTCACGTCCTTCTCGAAGCGTGCGAGAGTCTCCTCCGGAATATCTCCCGTGTTGCTCCAATTCGGAAGAGGAACTCTTCTGTCTTGATTGTAAATACTCGTCGTGCGGGTGACCCAGTTGATCTCGGGGTTGAACTTCTTCAGAAAATCTCTCCCAAGAATGAAGTCTAGCCCTTTGATGTTGGTGACGGGTAGGGTCGGTTTCCAGCGAAGAGGACCCATCTGCAGGTGTAACGCTGCTTCGCCGTAGACTTGTAATTTGCTTCCGTCAACCATCGTAGCTGTGAAGTTTGAAGGCGTGTACTTCTCATTGATGCGTTCGAGGGTTGCTTTGTCGCATACTGAATGGGATGCTCCGCTGTCCACGAGTGCCTGGAGGCGTCGTCCATTGCAGATCACCTCGAGCAAAAGTGGTTGGCGTTGCTCGTTGTACCCGTTGATCGTCTCGTTGATTGGATCATAGGGCATTTCCCATAGCTCTGTGTTTTCTCCTGGGGTGGCAGATGGCCGGTCCTGCCGTTCCCTATTGCCATGATATTTTGTTGTCGTCGACGACGTGGTTCTCGAGCTCGTAGTAGAATTCATAGATGGGGTAGATACCGTAGATGTTTCAGATGTTGCAGATGCATCTGTAGAGGAGGTTTGAGGTCGTCGCAGCTTCATGTTGACCTCCGGCTTCCTCTTGAGCTGCTTCAGCGCCACCGACTTCTTCCGTGGTGACCGGTTGGTCGACGTGGGCTGGTTTTTCAGAGAGAGGATGATGTCGTCGTTGGAAGGTCGATCTTCCACGCTCCGTTGTTGGTTCCCCATGCGCAGCTGCTGTAGTTGTCGTACCGGTACATTCTTTTTCTTCTGGAGCCTCTCTCGTGATTTCACAAAGGCCGTAGACCGAAGGGAATTTTTCCAAGTAAAGCATCCTTGTATGATATTTTGAAGGGGTGCTTACTTTTTACAGGGCCTTTTTGGAGTTGTCCGGGTCCAGCAGGGTCTTATGTCGCGGAGATTTTATTTCCCTCGGCGATTTTCCCTGGTAGAGTCCGTTCGTGGTTTGAAAAAATCACTCCACGATCCTCCAATATTCGCATTAAATCTGCTCCACTGCTGCGGTCCCTAAGCGCTGAACGTGCAGTTTTCATTTCGTCACAATCGATGAGTCGATGTCCGGGCTTGCCACAGAAAGAACACTTAGATTTGTTCTTCTTTGGTCTTGCCTTCGCGTCGATTCGATCGAGTTCCATCGGGTCGGCGTACGTGGGGTTAGCCAAGCGTCCTCCATGTCGTCTAGCTCGTCCATGAAGTCGTCGTGTTCCGATCGTGGTTACGTCGAAACGTTCCGCTGCCGAAACGACGTCGTTGTAGCTGCTCCAATTTGCGGTCGCAACATGTTGTCGAGTTTCTTTTTTCAGCCCCGCGATAAATGCTCTAATTTTTTCGCCTTCCGTGACGTCGGGGATGCGGTTGAACAACTCCTCCATTTGTTGCGTGTAGTTCGCGACGCTCCCGAATTGTCGATGACGATGTATTTTGTCGCGGGCGATAAACGCTGCATTAATCGGCTCAAAACGTTGTAGTAATCGTTCTCGGAACTGCTGCCACGTCGCTTCACCTTGGTTTAATAAACCGCTTCCGCTTATCCATTCA